GCTAAGCCTGACTTTTGGATATCCTTGTAGGGGCCACACAACGGATGAGGACATATTATTACAAAACCCCCTTCTTTTTTGAAAAGGGAGATGAAACTCATTTGCACAGGGTCAGACTGTGGGAGAGTAGTGGATTGTGATGCTTCAAGGTTCCAGTGTATAAATACCACACTGAAAGATATATCCTTTCAGAACCCTGGCAGTCCTTTCATCCAACAGTGATAACAAATATAGCACTTTGCAGGAGAAATTGACTACAGTAATCATTTGATACTCCAGCTTTTGGTTCACGACCAAAAGGGCATGTTTGATTAGGTTCAGTATTTTTGAGTTTTGCTTCCTCCATGAACTTAGATGGAAAGAGGCCATACTTGCATACTGGCCCAGTTACTATTCCACAAATTCTGTGCTCCATCTCCAACATCTGGGCCTTTGAAGACGCTTTTCTATGTCTACAATGTACTGTCTTCCCCACTGCCTCTTGGAATGGGGCCAAAGCCTCTATCTAAGGCTTAACTCAAGGGCCACCTCCTGTGAAAAGCCTTTCCTGACCCAACCTTAGTCGTTAGTAAGTGTTCTCTTCCTCCTCCAATTATCATGCTTATATTGACATCCCACAGAATATAATATGAGCTCCTAGGGGACTATTTTTTCTCTTTGTCTTTGTAGCTTGACACCTCACATAATACCTTGTACATACAACATGTTTAAAAGAAAATGTGTTTTAGATTAGTTTGCATTTTACTGAACTGTAGAACATGCAGACAGGACTTTCATTCTGTTGGAGGAGAATAACCAACGCACATTTGTATCATAAGGAAAGCAGCCTGCAAAATTGAAGGTGCTTTACAAATATAGTTATTATTAACATTACTATAATTATTAGTAGTGTTATGGGTTGGTGGGGGAGGGTCTCTAAAACTTGGAAGTGGGTCTACTGAAATAGGCACAGACTAATAATGAGACTAAACATTTAAAATTTCATTAGTGGCTTAGCAGCTTAGATTTAATAATAATCCATTCAACTACGAGCTCCTTCAGAGCTGAAACTTCTCCCTGTCTTTCTTTGTACTCTTATGGCGTAGCACAGTTTCTGGCACATGGCAGGCACTTTCAATGCTCTTGGCCTTAACATTCAAACCTGAAAAGGACATTAGAGATCCATCAATTCGAACCCCTCGTTTTACAGGGGAGGTGCTGAAGGAAGCCCAGAGAGATTAAACATCTTACCCAAGATCACACAGGTAGGTAGTCATTGACGGAACCAGGATTCTAAACCAGATCCATTGATTCTAGGGCCTTTTCCACTGCAACACAACATGTGTATATGTGTGTGTGTGTGTGTGTGTGTGTGTGTGTGTGTGTGTGTGAGAGAGAGAGAGAGAGAGAGAGAGAGAGAGAGAGAGAGAGAAAGTATATACACGGAAAGGCCTAGACTTTTCCATTTAAAATTTTGTAGCAAGAACATTTTATAAAAAAAACAAAAAAAAACTTCAAAGATTATATAGAATACACACACACACACATACACGTATATACACATATACATATATACACACAAACATATATATACACATATATACACATATATACATATACATACACATAAACATATATACATACACACACATACACACACACACACACATATATATATATATATATATATATATATATATATATATATGTATGTATGTATGTATGTATATAGTTAAGCTTGGCTTCTGTCCACTTTGGACCAATAATGATTCACTGCTATCCATGGCCTTTTCTTCCTTTAATATATTTGGTAATTCATTCTCAATATTCTAAGGGATATACTGCATGTAACTTTGCATGTAGCTGATCCCTAAGGTAATTTTTTTTCAGGTCAGTTTCTACTCTCTCAATGCCTTATAACTTATCTGTCTGCTTATCTCCCCTAACTGCTAAAGGGAATTTATGCGTTTAGAATAAGTTCCTTGAAGAAAGGGAAAGACATATTTTGAACATGTCCAGAATGAAAGGAAAATGGAGAACCTGCAAAAACAATAAGAACTAGTCTTAGAGGTACCCCTCTCCTCTGACCCCCACTCTTCACACTGAAACTTGCCTGCTATTTTTTGAGACAGATTTTGGCGTTTTTCTCTGATACATAGCTTTGGAATATATTCGGTGCACAGGACATTTGAATGCATTGACAATATATAGCAAGGCTAATAAGTGCATTTTTTTCCCCTGCAGAGCAGCAGATACGTTTGCTGTTTCTCCTCAATAATGCCCAGCAATTAAAGAAAAGGAAGGGGATCGGAGTGGAGAAGCTTTTCCCAAAAGTCAGGGAGAGGAAAAAGAAGCAGAATCCTTGTTCAGGTACACTCCTTTGCAATGCCTTACTTATATCTCCTCTAGATGACCTTCCAGCTAAGTGCCACTATAAGTGATGCTCTTACCAACTCAGAGTCCAGGCTTCCTTCTCAGCACAAGGACATGGGATCAAAGATGTGGAGATGGGAAGGACTTCAGAGATCAACCTGCTTATCTGAGATTAGGAAGTCAGAAGAATTTTTAAGCAAACCTTAGGCATCCGAAAAGTTCACCAATTGCTCAGTCACAGAGGTGTTAAGTGCTGAAGGCAGAATGTAGCCCTTAGTCCTTTGACTCCAGAACTAGTACTTTTTCTATTCTGCTGTGCTCAATGGAACATGCCTGGCCATTTATGAAGTGAAGATCCCTCAAAACCTACTAAGTATATATTCCATTATAGTGAGGTGATGGAACATTTTAGTTGTAATATTGGGCTGGGAAAAGGATCTGCTTTGTTTTTTTTCTTAGACTGCCCATGAACTACTTAATCTAGAACTCAATTCTTTGGTGGAGTAGATGTCAGAGGGGCTGGATTGTACTGCTTCCTCTTCTCCAATATCTTTGCTGGGCTCTAGAGAGATAGCTAGAAGAGAGATAGGAGGATTACAGATTTAGAGCTAGAAGGGACTTTAGAGATAATACAGTCCAACCAAGTGAGGAAATCAAATCCTAAAGGGCATATAGCTGGCTACACATGTGTGTGTATACACATGTATATGTATATGTATATGTATATGTATATGTATATGTATATGTGTATGTGTGTGTTCAGTTGGCAAGTTGTGGAATCAGGATTTGAACATAGGTTCTATGGCTCTAAATATATGATCTTTGGATTTTAAGTTTAGCTCTTGCTACAGCAGCATATCATATCCCCAGGGATAAGATTAATCTAAGAAATACTTCCAGCATTTTGGGTAGATCCCTGGTTACAAATTTAAATAAACATGGATGAGACATGAATGGCTAGAGATCTATATTTTTGGAGAGAAAACCTACATCTACAAAATGTAAACTCCGTAAAGTCAGGACCTTTGTCTTCCCAGCATCTGGCATAGTGCCTGGTATACATTAATACGTGCTTGTTAAATTGTACTGAGAAGGCACAGGTCCACTGTGATACTTGAGTACACCATTCATTCATTCCTCGAACATTTATTATGGGCTATTCACCACAAGAATGTAAGCTCCCTGAAGTCAGGGATTGTTCAATTTTTGCCTTTGTATCCCCAGTGTCAAGTACTGTGTCTATTTCATTGATAAATATTTGTTGAATGAATAAATGAACTTTCTTCAGAAAGAGGGGTAATTAGGATATATTTTTAAAAAAGTGTAACCTCAGGTTGTTACATTTTCACCTATTTCCCAGAGCCCCCTCATTTTTCCTGAGTCATCCTTTTCTCATTTGCCACACTGATTTTCTATCGTCAACAAAAACAACGACGATAATGAGGTATTAGAGTTTTAACATTATCTCCAAGTGTGATGCATTTGTCATAAGTCATCCTCAACTCACAAAAACCAAACATTTGGAAACACATGAGTTGTCCTTCCAACGCAATGTAGACTAAGAGGATTGGAGGTGTGAGGGGAAGAAGGGCAGCATAAATGAAAGGCATTCTGGTGGCAACAACTACCTTGCAATTTTCCAACAGTGGTTTTAATAATGCACCTTCTCTATTACATTCAAATTACCTTCAACTAAGTCACTGTAGATCATACTGCCAGCCTATGTTTCTAGGCTGATTAACACATTATTCCCTGTCATTCAGTCTATACTCCTGTCAAATTGGCTTTCTTGCTACTTTTTATACACGGAATTTCATCTTCTGTTTCCATGTCTCTGTACATTCTTTCCCTGATGGATGGGATGCTATGCCTCTACTCCTCCTATTTCCAAGATCCTTAGCTCTTTTTAAGGTTCAACTCAAGCACCATCTCTTATGAGAGCCCTTTCTTTATCCCCCCAATGTGTATCTTACCTCAAGAAATTTTCTTGTACATATTAATTTGTATATATTATGCATTTGCTTATTTATGTTGTTTCTCCTAAGTAGAATGTAATTGCCTGATGGCAGGGATTATGACATTTTTTCTCTTTGTATCCCCAACACCAAAGACATTGCCTGTTTCATAGCAAGGGTTCAATAAATGTTTGTTAAATTGCCAAATTCTGATGAATTTTAAGTGGTCTGTATCAGTTATCATTTAAAGACCTCTGAGACCCAGACCTTAGGTCCAACTTGGACTTTTCAATGCCCAACCAAATCCTGCCATATCCCTTCATCCAACAGGGTGAATTTTACATTGGCTCTGAGGAATTTCCTTGAAGTTGTTCATACAGAGTGGACTTCAATTGAACTCCATGTGTTTTTTGGCACCTTAATGCTTACCAAAGCCTACTGATGGCCCTAATGAAAAGTAAAAATACCACAGCCTCCCCCCTAAAGGTTCCCCGGCTCTAGGAGGAGTCAGCAGCACCAGTCCCAGATACTGAGGAAAATAAGATAGCATGGCCGAAGAATACTGTAATATTTCTTTTCCAAGGGCATGAGGAGACACTCTAAACATCTTCCAGTATTTGAGCCACACTTCAAATAAGCTCTGTCCAGGTACAGAAAAAAACCAACAATATTTTATTTATAACCTTATTTTAGTTTTTTTTTTTAAACTACAAATTCTGGTTCTAGAGTCATTAAAAGATCATGGGATTTATAGATTCTGACATGTAAATTAATCTCTTATTTGTTTTTTTTTTCTTTTTTCTTTTCCACAGAAGGGTCCTCCTGGTAAATACAGAACAGGTCATTACATGAAAAATATAAGATTTTGCATTGTTTTCCTCTTTCTCTCTTATAAATCTATGTCTAATACTGCATTTCCCTGTTGGAGTATTTCATAAGGGCATGAGAAGAAGAAGAAAAAAAAAAAAACAGAAGAGACAAAATAGACTGAACCTCACCACTAGAATTCACCATAAAAATCCCAAAGTATAACAGAATTCTTACAAAATTTCCTAGACCAGTTCTTTAGGGAACTGAGATCTCTTATGAAAAATATGGCAAAGAGGGAGGGAGAGGAGCAAGGGAAGGGAGGGTAAATAAATGCAGCAAAACAGGTTCTGAGGAATACACATCATTTTGTCTGCTTTAGATCACAATAGAATTTTTAATAAATAAATTTCTTTTCTTTTTTGTTTTTTTTGTAAAGACACTTTTTTTGAAACAGTAGATTTAGCCCAGTCATTTGTGTCATTTTTTTTTTTATAAACCGTCTGTTTTTTTTTTTTCTCTGTAACTTTTGTAAATGTTTTAGATTTGAGTCTCTTGTACATTGTCTTTCGAGTTCATTCGAATCAACAACGGTTCATGCACTGAACTGTGTATTGAGTTTATTGTGTTAACTGTTGTGTGGTTGAAGGGAGATTTGTAAGAGTTATAGTGATTTAGGTGCTCATGTTCTATAGCAGGCTGGGCAAGTGGCTCTCTATGGGCGTGTCCCCTGTAATCTCATCATCCACATTAATGATCTCAACAGTCCGCGTGGGGGCGTGGTGGTTTTGCCGATGGTGCTGTTTCCTCATCTTGTAGAAGATGACCAGCATCACCGCTGCCATGAGAGTGATGGCCACAAAGCAACCAATGATAATCTTAGTGGTTTTCATCACCTCGTCGATTCCCGGGATGCCATTGTTTATATCGGTCACAGGGATGGTAAATGTTTTTTCGGTTGACCTTGTGCTCTGGGGCGTGAGAGAGGTGGTCACATTGGTGGTCTCCCAGTCGACGACTGGTGTGGGCCCCACATTGTTCTCTGTGGTTCGGGCCTCGTCCTGAGAAGGTTCCATAGTCTCTACGGTGACAGTGGAAAAATAGGAGAATGGGGTAGTGGTTGCTGCGGTCACATTCAGGGTGGCTGAAGCTGTGGTATTCCCGACAGAGTTACTCACCATGCATGTATACATGCCTGTATCTTGTATAGTTACATTAGTAAAATTTAATGTGCCATCACTGAGCACAGCAATCCGGACCTTGTATGCCCCATGTGTCATGACCGTCCCATTGGGAGTAATCCAAGATACAGAGGTCAGTGAGGTGGAGGCCCGACACTTGAGCTCTGCAGCCATGCCCTCTGTGACATTGAGGTCCGCGGGAGGCTCAACAATCACAGGAGCATAACAGGTAAAATAATTCTGGTCCAATTCCCCAATGTACCTGCCTTTCAGGTTTGAGGGTGTATTACAGCGGGCACAGCATGCAGTATTGGAGGGCGCCATGTCCTTTATCCACCAGCTGAGCCACAGAATATCACAGTTGCAGTTCCAAGGGTTGTGATGCAGATGGATCCGCTCGAGGTGATGGAGGGGCGTGAAGAGGTCATGGGGCAGTAAGGTCAGATTATTGTGTGCCAGGTTGATCTCTACCAGTGACTGAAGGTTATCAAATGCATTCCTTTCAATCACTTGTATCTGTGACTGGATCATCCACAATTTCTGAAGGTGCATCAAGCCCTGGAAAGAGCCCGGCCTAATGGCGGACAAATGGTTCCCAGAAAGATCCAGCTCATCCAGCTTGATGAGCGGTGTGAGGTTGGGGATCTCCCGCAGATTGCACATGGCAAGGTTCAGATACCTCAAGTTGGAGAGACCTTCAAAGGCCCCTTCCGAGATGTACGAAAGCCTCTTCAACTCTCCCAAGTCCAAGCGGCGCAAAGACGGGATTCGGTTAAAAGCATAAGAAGGGATGCTCTCGATGGGATTATTTCGCAGCCAGAGTTCCTTCAGTTTCGACAGGTATACAAAAGCTCCATTGGGGATGGTGGTCAACCGATTGTCAAAGAGCTCCAAAGTGTTGAGGTTTGCCAAACCATTGAAGGCCCCGATTTCAATGGTGCGGATGTGATTCCTGCTCAGCTGGAGGATCTCCAGGTGTCTGAGGTGTTTGAAGCTGTTCACCTTGATAATCTGAATCTGATTCTCGTGGAGATTCAGGAGCCGTGTGTTGGTAGAGATGCCGTCAGGGACCTCTCTGAGGTTCTTCCGCACACAGATGACCTTGCTGAACTGGTTACTGCAGGAACACACAGAAGGACAGGTTTGGGCCCTCACCAGACCAGCCACCACGAGAAGTTGGAGAGCCAAGAGCACCACAAGCAGGGGGTCAAATAGGGCCCTGTTAAACCTAGGACCTATCATTATCTGCTGTGGATGTAAGATCATCTTGTTCAACATTCATAATTTATCTGGGGTCGGGCCTTCTGGAGTTCAAATAATCTGAAAAAAAATGGAAACAATGAACATGTTAGATCTCTGACAGATATTCTTCTTGTGATACTGTCATTGGCAGAGGTTTTATGTTCAGACTCTCCATTCCCAAAATGAAGAGAATAAATAACCAGTTATCCTTATGGTGAGCTATACTATTTGCAACTGGTTGTGAAACGTGCTCTGACCCAATCAGCACATAGTAGCAGTTCAAGTAGGAGCATAAGAGAAAAGCGCAAAGAAATGGAAGAGAAGAGTGATGGGGCCTGCACACAATACCTCAGCAGCCACCTCAAGAAGTGAAGGGACCGTGATATTTATCAGAAATGCCTCAATGTCATCTTAAATGTCTGGATCATTGGATTATAGATTGAGAGCAGCAAGTTGGTTTTAGGTCATCTAGTCTAAATCCCACCTGCTATAGATGAGGAAAATAAGGCCCATGCAGAGGGAGTGGACTTTCCCAAAGGCACACAGCTAGTGACCGGCAGAGTCAGATTCTCTGCTTTAAAGCTAATCCAATTTAAATTACGCCAATTCTTATGAAGCAGCTACGATGTGCCAAGCATTGTGCTTGCTACTCATTAGGGACACAAAGAAACACAGACTAAACTTGATCTGATTTGTTTTGTTGTTTTTTTTTTTCTCCAGAAGATTTTTTTTTCCAACTAGGAAGCTGAAAAGAGGCAAGTTCATGTCTGATTTCTAGAAAAGCTCCATTACACTCAGATGACTCCCAAAGTGGAAGGGGACCTCTGCAGGTACCAATATTGGCTCTGGAGGCAGTGGATTCCCCCTTACTGAGAGTCTTTAGGAAGATCAGGTGATTGTTTGCTGGGGATATTGTAGAGTTAAGGACTGGGCTGTGCACCCAAAGAGTTCCCTTGAAAATCGTGAAATTTTATGATCTTTTTTTTTTTTTGGTTGGGCAATGGGGATTAAGTGACTTGCCCAGTGTCACACAGCTAGCAAGTGTTATGTGTCTGAGACCAGATTTGAACTCAGGTCCTCCTGAATCCAGGGCCGGTGCTCTATCTACTGCGCCATCTAGCTGCCCCCAAATTTTATGATCTTGAGTGACATTTTGCTTCAACATTGGACAGACTGGACTCAAGGTCCACTTATTATTTAAGCATCTTTTATGTGAACTTGCCAACAACCCCTTAATTTTTTTCCTCATAAAACAGCCTCTCTTTCTTTTTTGTGGGAGGGAGGGTGATCCCACATGCAAATACTGACAAGTTAATATCTAATAATGAAGTCTTTAATAACATTTGCTTCACTATGACAACTGAATATAATAGTCCTGATATAAAATGGATACCTTAGAAGACAGGTCATAGGGGCTTAGATTTAGATTTGGAAGGAACCTTAGAGACTAGCTGTAGTTTCCTTTTAAGAATGAGATAACAGAGGCTCAGAAGAAGTTGTGATATGCACAAGGCCACGTCGGTGGTGGTCCTCTGAGGCCAAAGCAAGCATCATTTTTTCACTACGGCAAACTGTCTCCTGTAATAGAGAAAAAAAGGAAGGGCACAGGACTAAGGTAAAAGCGTGATACATGCATTAACCATCAGCTTTAATTCCACTTGTGGGAATTCTTTTCTAGGAAAAAAAACTGTTTCTCAAATAGGCTTTGGAATCAGAGAAATTGAGCCGAAACACTACATCTGATGCATAGTACTTAAGTCACCCTGAGTAAGTAATTTATCCTTTCTGGGACTCCGTCTGCACATCTATAAAATGACCTCTAGGGTACCTTCCAGCCCTCCAAACCCATGTTGCTATGAACTATGACCTTGTGATATGCAGTAGATATCTCACTTCCCTGTAGGCTGCTTTTATTACTAGCTGTAAAGAGCTTTCCAAACCTTGAAGCCTCATCTACTTTAAGGCATTATTATCTTTTGCCAGCAATGTCCAAAGTACTACAATCTTCTAGGTATTATAAGTTTCAATAGCTCCCTATTACCTGTAGGTAATTAGGATGGTAATCATCTTTTGCTTGACATTTCAGGCCTTGACAATCTAGGTCTGTTGTGCTGGAATTAATGAACCTTGCTTGTTCTCACGTCCTTTAAGTTTTAGCCCAACTAGTTCTATGTCTCATCTCTGAGTCTTTGTGTAGACTCTTTTCTAATAATGTAATACTATCCCTTCTCACCTTTACCCCTTGAAAGCCCTGCCTCCTTTCTAGGATCAGCTCAGGTGCTGCATATGGCAAGAGGTCTTTCCTGGTTCCTCAGTCACCCCTGTCTCCCACTCCCTCCCTCCCTTCCCCATGAAAAATACTTTTTAAAAACAATTTAAATGCTTTTTGTATTCAGAGATAGCTGGTATAGTGGATAGAGAAACAACTTTAGAATTGGGAAGATGTAGCTACAATTTTGACTCTGGTGGATTCTACTGACCTTGAGCAAATAATTTAACCTTGTACTTCCTCCCAGAAATTTTTTCAAACTATAAGTAACAAAGCATGAGCAGATCTGTAATGGTAGGAGGAGTTTCCTCAATGTTAATTCCTGACACCAATAAACCTTGCTCTCTCGCTCTCTCTCTCTCTGTCTCTCTCTCTCTTTCTCTCTCTGTATTCTAGACCTGTGATCCATCCATTTTTGGTTATGTGTGTAGATTTTGTTTCTACTAGCAGAATGTAAGCATGTATGCTCCTAAAGAGACAGGTTTCCAGTTTTCTCTTTTTTTATCCCCATTGCCTTGTAAGGCCTCATTAGTAATAAGTGCCTAAGAAATATTCATTGAATTTAACTTAATTG